ATATGAGGAAGTTCATAAAGTGCCTAAGGAAGGCACTTCAACAACCCTATGGGGCAGGTAGTATAAACATAATTATTCCCATTTCACAAATAAGGAAACCAAGTATTTAAGAGGTGAAATGGCTTGCTCAAGGTTACACAGCTATTTACTGGACAAAGCCAAGATACAAACCCAGGCCACCTGACTCCAAATTCAGTGCTCTTTCCACTGCACTGGGACACTAATAAGTTTAAGTGGTCCAGAAGAAGCTGGCCAGGATGATGAAGGAACTGGAAACAATTCCATAGAAGAATGGCTGGAAGGAATTGTTTTTGTTTCTCAGCTTGGAAATGACTTGATGTGGGTGTGGACGGTGTATTGGGGGCAGAAGGGAAGAAGAAAAGACATGACAGCCACGTTCAAATATTTGAAGGGAAGTCATAGGGGAAAGGGATTAAACACATTTTGCCTGGTCTTACAAGGCAGAATTAGGAGCAATGGGTAGAAGTAGTAGAGACAGATTTCAGCTCAGTGTCAAGGAAAACAGATACTCTCTCACTTTTTATTATATTTATTCTAATAGCATCAAAGATGATTTAGGCAATAAAAAGTAAAGAAGGGATTAGGGGTGACATTCCTTTTTACTTGATGGCTAATTTATGGCTTTAAGTAAACATGTCACTTCGACACTTTGTAGGAGAACTAGTATCTATATGGAGGCCACTGGGAGTTAAGAATGAGGATGGGTTTTGCAGTCAGTTTTTATATGTGTAAATGGGTAATGGTTGTGATGACTGATGTAAAGATAATTGTGTGTGCCTGTATGTTCATTCATATTATGTAAAGATGTGAGAGTGGCATGTACACTGTAAGCTGTTTGTGTTCAGAGGTCAAGATGTGTTTAGAGGTGTAGGTCATGTGCATATGCATATGGGTGTGCAGGTGTGTGTGTGTGTGTATGTGTAGGGAAGGGGCTAGACTATGTATAGACAGTGTCATGTGGGGAAGTTATGAAGTCAGTCTGTATGTGAGGACGGTTGGCATATGGGTTCAGATTGGGGAAGTAGTCTCTATTTGGGGTCATTAGAAGGTAGGAGGATGTAGATGTTGTGTGAGATGGGATCATTGGGTATATGGGGGCAGTGTGAGTACTATATGTAGAGGGCAGTATATGTGAATGGTTGTTATATGGGAGAATGAGTGGGAGTGGGTTAGTCTACAGTGCAAAGCGTGTGGGGTGAGTCAGTGTAATTGTAGGTCAATATTTGTGGGTAGGCATGGGTATATGGTATATGAAAGGAGTCAGCATGTGTGGGTAGTTGATATATATGTATGGGTCAGGGTATATGAGGAGTATGCACGTATGTGGGACAATGGTATATGTGAGGGCAAGTGTATGTGGGAGGCATTGGTGTGCCTATGGGTCAGCTGGTAGGAGTGGTTAGTGCGCATGTCAGCGGATAGATAGGACTGTGTGTGTGTGTGTGTGTGTGTGTGTGTGTGTGTGTAAAAGCAGTGTATGGAGGGGGAGGGTAGAGCTGTTGGAGTATAAATACAGGTTCAATGTGGGTATGGGTTGATGTACATATGGGGGATATGGGTATGTGTGTGGTGGGTCTATGTGCAGGCAGGACATTGGTGTGTGGAGAGGATTAGAACTTCAAATCGAAAAAGGAGAGCCTAGAGGAAGAAAACTGACAGAGGAAGTAACTACAGTGTAGTAACTGAGATACACCCAAGTTCACAGGAGACAAAATCCAAGAAAAGGGCCAGTGGTGAAACCAATGACTTCAAATGTCTATACAAAAATGCACAAAATTTAGGCAACAAACAAGATGAACTAGAGGATTCAGAAAAAGGACAGGTAGGATCCCATGGGAGAAATTTTTCATCCAGAAAGGGATGGGAAATTCTCAAGAATGAAATTAAGACATAAAGGAAAACAATTACAACGAGGAGGGAAAATGGTAGTTGTCTGACAGTTGTCACTTTAGTGTCAGTTGCCTGACACTAATGTAGATATATAGATAACTCAATAAACAATTTGTATTTTAAAAACATACATACAGAAGATGGAAGCATGGACAGAGAAATAGAGATACATACAAAATCATGGAATGGTGGTGTAAGAATAATGTCAGGGGTGCTAAGGCTCAGAATAACTGAGAATCAAGTTAGCTAAGGAGAACAAAACATGTTTCGTTTTGTTTTTTATTAAAGCTATATTGAGGAAAAGAGGAAATTCTGAGAAGAGGGTATAAGACAGCTGTTCATGGTGGATGGAACAATAATAACTGACAATGGAGAAAGAGGAGAGCTTCTCAATTCTATCTTGCTTCTGTTTTCTCTGCCAAGTAGAATGACCTGTAGACTACTATGGATGAAACAAAATGGCTAATAGGGAGTTAACACCCAACGTAAGTAAAGAGACAGAGAAAGAACACCTAGCTGCTCTCAATGAATTCAGGTCACCTGGCCCAGATGATTATCTCCAAGGAAATCAAAGAAGCAGCAGATATTATTGCTGAGCAACTGTCAGTGATGTGTACAAAGATCATGGAGAACAGGAGAGTTGGAGAAGGGCAAATGCTCTGATTCTTTAAAAAAAACAGGGAGAATAAAGTTTGCAAACTATAGATCAGTAAGTCTGATTTTAATTCTTAAAAATGTTCTAGAATAAACTATTAAACAGATACTTAGTGGATATTTAGTAATGTAGGCTGTGATCACAAAGAAACAGCATGATTTCACTCACAAGAAGTCAGGGCAGAGTAACCTTACTTCCTTTTTTGACAAGGTTACTAGGCTAGTAGAACAGGAAGATGCTACATAGTTTACCTGGATATTAGCAAAGCATTTGATAAAGCCTCTCATACTGTATTTTTTTTCAATTAATAAATTTATTTATTAATTTTTAGTTTTCAACAATCACTTCCTTAAGATTTTGAGTTTCAAATTTTCTCCCCATCTCTCCCCTCCCCCTACCCCAAGATGGCATGTAAATTGATATAGGCCTCTCATGCTATTCTTGTGGACAAGATAGTGAGATCTTCTGTTTGGCTTTCAAAGGCCTTCATAATCTGATCCTTTCCTATCTTTCCAGTCTTCTTACACCTTACTCCCCCTCACTTATTCTGCAATCCAGGGACATTAACCCACTTGCCAATCCTTGCACGTAATACTCTCATCTCCCCATTCCAGCAATTTTACTGGTTGTCCTTGGTGCCTGGAATGATCTTCCTCCTCGTCTCTTCTTGCTAACTTCCCTGGCTTCCTTCAAGTCCCAGTTCTCCCTTCTGCAAAAAGCCTTTCCCAGTCCTTAATCATTGTGCTTTCTGCCCAGGATTACTCCCAATTTGTCCTGTATATATCTTATTTACACATCATTGCTTGTGGGTTGTCTTCTCATCATACTGTGAGCCTGAGAGCAGGGACTGTTTTTTGTCTTTCTTTGTATCTCCAGAACTTAACATGGTACCTAGCAAATAGAAGATGATTAATAAATGCTAGCTGACTGTGTGATATGGTAGCCATAAAAGCTATTTTTATCTTGGATCCCATCAAGAAGCACAGTCAGATGATATCCAGAGTACTGAGTTGAGTTCTGGACTCACAGCTTAACCTGGTAACTTGCGCAGTTCTCCCAGAGAATGGCAACTAAAATGGCCAAAAAAAAAAAAAAAAAAAGCCTTGAATGCAGGTTTCATGAGAATCAGTTGAAGGAATTGGGGGTATTTAGCCTGGAGAACAGAAAACTTAAGGGATGACATAATAGCTACCCAAGTATTTGAAGGGGCACCGAACAGAAGGATTAGACTTGTTCTCTTTGGCCCCACAGGGCAGAAGCAGAAGCAGTAGGGTGGCCTACTGCTGTGTGGGTGGCTGTGAAATTTCCTAACAATAAAAGCTATTCCAGAGTGGAATGCACTGCCTCCTAGATCTGGTGTTGGAAGGCATTTCAGAGACCCCCTTATCCAATCCCTTCATTTTACATATGAGGAAACTGAGGCGAAGAGAGATTGTGACTTGTCCAAGGTCACAAGGATAGCAAGCAATATTTCAACCAGCTCTATTGACCCAAGATTGACAGTGCTCTTTCCATTTCCACTTCCCATTTTTTCCATTTTCCACCTTCAAGCAGAAGCTGGATGACATTTACAAAGTACATGAAGGGTTTTCTTTTACCCTGGTCTGAAGTACTGTGATTCAGTGCACAGAATTAGGGCAGGAGTGAGGGGAAAAGAGTCGTGTACATAGGGGGTGTGTGCGTGTGTGCGTGTGTGTGTGTGTGTGTGTGTGTGTGTGTGTATGATTCAGAGCCCTGGGTTAGGGTGGGAATGTGCTGTGTGCACACAGCATGAGTGTGTGTGTGTGCGTGTTTAGGGGCATGTGTTTGTTTCACGCCCTCCTCCTCCACCACGCGCGCGCTGGCCCCTCCTCCTCGACTCAGCCCGCCCCGGTTCCACCCCCACTAGGGCCATCAACCCGGCCTCCCACTCGGTAGGAGGTGACCTGACCTCGGGTGCGGTGAGACCGGCAGCCCCGTCCGGCCCCTGACCCCGACCCAGAGATCTTACTAGATCGCCCCTTTCTCCGAGCCGGTAGATCCAGCCGCGCTTCCGACATAGCCCAGAGCGTGTGCGCATGTGCGCTCTCCCACCCTTACTCCTTGCCCCCACGGGTCTCTCTGCCCCGCCCCGTCCCTCCTCTTCCCGCGGCCCCTCCTCCTCTCCCCGCCCCTCCCCGCTGTGTACGTGTATGGTGCAGAAGGGTATGTGAGTGTGGTTATGGGTGGACGTGAGAACAAACGCGTCCGGTCCGCCTTCTCTCTGATAAATCCGACCAGCCCCGCCCCCTCCTCCCTCCCACCCCCACCGCTCTTCTCTCGGCTTCCCGGCCTCCCTCGTTCTCTCCTGCCGGAAGTGCCTGAAAGAGCTTCCGGGTAGGCGCGGGTCTGAGGCAGCGGCGGCGGCGGCTGCTGCTGGGGCGGTTGGAGGTGGGCAGCGGGGCCAAGCTGGGGCCACTTGTCAACGGCTGAGGCGGAGGAGGGCGAGGGAACGGCTGCCACGGGGCGAGGGAGCGATGTAAGAGGCCATCGCCCAGGTGAGGCCCGCTGGTCGGGTCGGGGGACGGGACCCCAAGATCCAGCCCTGCCGAGGCCTGGCCCATCAGGAGTCGGTTGGAAGTTGGCTCAAGGCCCGGCCGGGGGTGGGTGTGGGTGTTGGGACTTGGGCTTGTCCCTGCGCCGGCCTTTGTGGCCGCCACTGCCGCGGACACGGAGCCCAAGGTCCTGGCCGCGCCTGGCCCGGCTCGGCGGGGCTTGTTTGGGGGGAGCGGGGCTGCCGCCCTCCGGTGGGGCAGGGACTAGGTGAACCTGGGGCCCTTAGCGGCCCGAGAGCCTCTTGACTCAGCGGCCCTGACTCACCCGGGCCTTGCGCGGCCTCTGTACACAGGCAGCCCAGGGTGGAGGTGAGAGCGCTGAGGCTTCCATTTGGGGCTGTCACTGATTCGGCGTGTGACCTTGTTCAAGTCACTTAAAATCTCAGCAGCTAAGTTTCATTTATAAAGAAAAAGTAGTTAAGATCGTCTCTGAGGTACCTTACATCCCAAATGTTCGGTGATTTTGTCATTTTGTGTGAGTTGTATTATCGTATGTTAGTGCATGTGTGCAGTGTACTTGCCTGTGAACGATATGTAGCGTTTGTGCCCGTGTGTGTGCAACGTGTGTGTGGACATTTTTCTTAATGGTAGAAGTTGCAGTAGATTTAGAATCAGAAGACTTAAGTTCAGGTCTCACCTCCGCCTATTACTGCCGTATCTGAGCTTGGGCAAATCAATCCTTTTACTTGCTTGGTTCTCAGTTTCCTCATCTGTAAGATAAGAGAGAGTGGCTAGGTGTTCTCCAAGGCCCAACTTTTGCTGCTGTGTATGTAGAGGAATCTCTTCCCACTAATGAAATACATAAAGGGAAAGGGCCAGTTCAGAACTTCTGACCAGGAGAGCTTCATTTCGTGACACAAACTAGCTCTGTAGATACGTAGGATGATAAACTTTGACCTGCAACAGCGCCTGAGAGCTCCACTGGAGAAAGAGCATTGTAGAAGTTACAAAAAAAGAAATCTTTCAGTGACGCATGGGATTTTTCCTACCTGGAATATGTTTCAAGAGGATAGAGGAGATGGGGGTTAAAATGTTATTTATGTTATTATGTACAGCCTGTACATAGTGGAAATCAGTCAATCAACCTTGGACTTGGAATCAGGAGACCTGATCTTGTATTCCAGATCTTCAAAAATATTTTGACCTAAGTTCAGGTCACTTCAGCTCCTCATCTTGGTCAAATGGTAAAATGAATGCTTGCACTAAGCTACTTCATAAGGAGTGTGGTGGAAAAAAGCACTTTGTAAATCTTAAAGCCTTATAGAAATAAATTGGTACTATTCTTTTTTCCTATACAATCATAGATTTGTAAAGAGTCTGAGAGATCATGTATAGAAATTTGAGATTTTAATTTAGTGCTATGCTTTATGTTGATATTTTATGTGGATTTGACTAAAAGGATAAATAATGGCATTATTATTTTAGACATTAATTTTCATTCAGCATATGTACACTAAGTACCTATTGTGTGCTGAACACTTCCTCTGCTGGGAGATGTGCAAAATATAAGTTAGATATGGTCTCTGTCCAGGTAGAGTTTACAGCTTAATAGGCTGATAAAACCCAAATGCTGGTGACTATAAAACACAATGGTACGTAAGGATATTAAATAGACAAAAGGTCTAAAGGAAAAAGTCTTTATGGACAGGGAACATTTTAACATCCAACCAATAGAATACTATTATCCTTCCGCAGAAACTTCCTCTCATAAAGAATAAATACTTTTGAATTTATAGATAGTCTGTGCAATAATAATAACTTCAACTTTTTTTTTTTTAAAGCACATTAAGGCTTACCGAGCACTCTCCTCACAACTGTGTGATATTGGTAATGCCAAGTATTCCTGTCTTCATTGTGCAGATGAAGAAACTCACTGTGTCCTTATATGTAATTCTGAAAATGTATTCCTATAGTGCTTTAAAGTATTACAAGTGTTGGCCTCATAACAACCCTGTGTGATAGGTAGTGCAAGTATAATGATCCCCATTTGACAGATAAGAAAAATGAGTATCAGAGAGATTAAACTGCTTGCCTCAACTATAAACTGTTGCAGCCAAGATTTGTTGATATAAGTCCTCAGATTTTTGACAAATGTCACTGGGTGCAATTAATAACATAGGCGATCTGGAGTGACTTAACCATGGGCTATCAAATTTAACCTCCCTCTCCCCCAATCTTAGTTTCCTCCTCAGTGACATGGAAATGCTACTACTTGCATCATTAACTTCATCCTGGGAAGGTGCTTTGCAAATGATAACGTGTTATATGTAGAACTTTACAACTTGTGTGAACTCAGAGCTGTCCAAAAGTGGAAGATGTTCAGGAGGTATGTTCCCTATGACTGGAAGTCTTCAAGTGGCTGCTAGATAACTTGTAAGAATATTACAGGAGGAACTCGTGTTCAGGTATAGGTTCTAGGAGTGGGGAACCTGCAACCTTGAGGCCATGTGTGGCCCTCTAGGTGTTCAAGTGCAGCCCTTTGACTGAATCCAAACTTCACAGAACAAATCTCCTTAATAAAAGGATTTGTTTTGTAAAACTTGGATCCAGTCAAAAGGCTGCACCCAAGGACCTAGAAGACTACATGTGGCCTTGAGGCTGAAGGCTCCCCATACCAGGTTAGACTGTGTTACTTCCAAGGTTCTTTCCAGATATGAGGTTATGAAAAAGAAATTATCTTATGATTGATAAAACTACAATAACACCTCCATTTTCTTAAAAAGAACCTTTTGAAAGTTTTCTAACTTGCCATCTTAATGACTCAAATGTAGCTTTGCATTTGATAACCCAGACATTAATTTTATTTTATGGTGAAGTTAGTCATTTACTTCATTGAGTGCCTACTACTTACAGGTTTTTTTAAATGGAAATTTTAAAGTATTATAGAATCATAGAATTTCAGAATTGAATGGGACTTCAAAGAAAATCCAATCTAATTTGTACCTGAATAGGAATTCTTTTTATACCCAAAAGTGGTTGGTCATCCAGCCTTTGCTTGAAGACCTCCAGTGAGAGGAAACCCATTCCCACTTGAAGCATTCCTTTTTATTTCTGGACATTTCTAATCGTTAGGAAGTCTTTTCCTTATATCAAGCTTAAATCTTCCTGCAGCTTCCACTTATTGCTCCTAATTCTGCTCTTTGGGATATAGCAGAATAAGTATAATCTATCTTCCAATTCTACAAAATACTTGAAGACCACTGTTGTATCAGTCTGTCAACTTATCCTCATGGCCTGATCTTCAGAACTCTCACCATCAGATTATACTTCTCTGGAAATCCTTAACTCTGTCAACCTTAAAATATGGTAGTAGAACTGAACATGTTACTCCCTATGTGGTATGACCAGGGATTAATACTGCAAGACAGTAACCTCCCTTAGCTAGAAAGATTTTTGTAACTTCCATGGGTAGTAAAAGTCTGCTGCAGTTGCACTTTTTTTATAGATTTTCTATAGATGTGTTTTGTTGATGCCTTTTTTGAACATCATTCATTTCTGAATATACAACTCCTTACCTCTTACTCAGTAAGCTTTCCCTTGTATTAACTATAGATTAATCATAGGGCCTTAAAATGGTAGCTATATACAAGGTGATAGGTCAGGCAGAGCTGGAAAAGTCGCTGGTGTAGTTCAAAAGATACTGAATGCCATCTTATACAGTTAACATTATGTTTTGAGGAGACTTGGCTTCAAACTCATATATGGGATATTTTATATGGACATTTTATTTTGAACAAACTTAGTGTGTACAAAACCAGATCATAAAACAATCATGTGATTCTTTGTTTCACATATTGCATTTAAAATGTGAAATAAAAAATTATTTTACAACTCTAAGTATCATGTTAAATAAGCAAAATGCAATTGCATATTTGTATATAGACAGTATTGTAAACATTTATTAAGAACCTTTATAAGATGTATTTTCACAGCACTTAACTATCAATCAAGACCTCAGTGGACTTAATGCAATTAAAACAAAGCCAAATTCTGCCTATAACTTCGCCTTCCACAGTCTTTTGGGATTCAATGTAAGAATTTTTTCTATGTAGGAAATTTCAGTAAGGCTTTGTTTTTCAACTTTTAAGTTGAAAAATGGACCTTTTATTACCATACTGACATTCAAAATGATTTATTAACCTCCTCAGTTTATACCATGGTGGGGAATAAGTACTTTGTTTTATGTTCTTTAATTTAAACTAGTACTTGCTGTGAGGGAGTTATTCAAAAAGTCTTAATATCAGATGCAGCACCTACAGTATTATATCATTTCCACAAACTTTTTTTGGAATCTTAATTATGTTTATAATGAAACAACGTTTTACTTTATATGCTTTTTAATAGAGTTAAGGATGTTATTTTCTCCATTTTTGTTTTTAGAACTGATGTTCCTGAGTTACATTTTATGTTATGTTTATTTGAGGTAGCTAGCTTGCCCAGTGGCTAGAGCACTGGACCTTTCAGGAAGACCTGAGTTCAAATTCAGCCTCAGATGCTAGCTGTGTGACTCTGGACAAGTCACTCGACCTATCTGCCTCACTTTCTTCATGAGAATAATAATAATGCCTATTTATGAGATAAGGATAAAATAAGATATTTGTAAAGTGCTTTGCTATTTTTTAAAGAGCTATATAAATGTTATCATTATTATTATTTATAACTTTAAAGTTTTATTAGTTTTCTCTTAATGAATTAGGATAAAGAATATTAACAGGGATATGGTCCTGAGAACAAAAGTGTCACTTGAGATTTACAAATAGCATTATCTGGTAATCCTTTACCACTTGAATTTTACAAGCAAAATATTTTGCTGTTGATTTGAAATTCACGTTTGCAAGGATACATAGTTTAAATTTTCTACATTCTGAAAATGTATATATAAAAGCCTAAAATAAATCAAATTTTCTCTTTAGTTTCTCATGCATCACTGTCATTAAGTCCAATCTGAGAGCCGGTACCTAGTGTAGCTCCTCTTACGTAGTCACATATTTAATAGATATGGGTTGAGTTTTAATTTGACAGTTGGAATATAGGACACATTTTTCCTAAATCTTGAAGTTTGGTAACAAAAGACTTATAAAGACAAATACTTCTAAAATAACAATTTGCTCTTAACTGTTTACTATTAAGGTTCAGCTAACCTAAAAAAGATAAGAAAACAAAGAATGGAGCTTTTCATTTTGTGCATTGAATAAAAATTTATAACTAGAAATATGTTTTATGTGTTCTGATAATAGCCAGAGATCTGAAAACAATTTTTAAAAGGATGTAGTTTGTGTTTCACAAAAATACATAGGTAGAAATAGATAATGAAGTGAATATAGGAACATAACAGCACAAGGGTTACTTTTGAATTTTTTCCTTGACTACTTTTTTGCATCTTTAGTATCTTTATTGGTAATAAACATATGATAGATAACACCATTGTCTGTTTCAATGAATTTTATTTGGTAACCAGTCAAACATTTTTATTAGTGATATATGAGGGCCTGTGATCTGTGCTGTTATGTGTGAGATTCTATATGATTAGTAGTGTAATCATATAGAATCTCAGAACTGAAAGGACCTCAAAGTCATTTAGTCCAGCCAGTGTGCCCTTCCATACATAGCATGTTCAGTGATTAATCGCTATTTGACTTCTAGTGATAGGAAACCTGCCACCTGCAGAACCAATCCATTCCACTTTTGGACAGCTCTAGTTGTTAAGAAGTTTTTCCTTGTACGAAGTTGAAATCTCTGAAAATTCCACCAACTGCTTCATATTATGCCCTCTGGGGCTTCAAGAAGCACATTTCCATGAATTATTGAAGTGTTAGCTATGAAGACCACTATCTCAGGGATAGAACTTTACCTGATTTAAGGTAACAAGATGCCAATATGGCATCTACATTTTTCTGTTATTTATATAAAATGGCTTCTGTCTTCTCTTTCAGTCATTAAAGTTATCTATCAAAGTTTGTCCAGAGTCTCAGTCTTTTTGGTTTCAGTCCTAGTCAAGAGGGCCTCTTATAAAATTTATAGTTTAAAGCTAATTAAGGTTTGTGGTAGACTCTTAGACTTTGAACTTAACTGTTACTAGATCCTTTACTGAAGTTCTGTTAAGATGTTTCATTGTGGTATTGAAGTGACTCTGTGTGGTGGTGACCTAGGAGTCTCAATTCCTATGCCAGTGAAGTGCAAGGTCTAGCAGGTTTTACTAAGCTGGAAAAAACTTTATAGGCCCAATGATGGACTGCAATTTTTTTTTTTTTGTCCAAGGACCAGCTTTGCCAAATATCTTTGAAAATATGGCCTCGAGAATGACCATACATATCATCTGTTGAAGCAAAGGAAAGAAATTTGTGGGTCAGTAAGAAGTTTGTCAATTCTGCTTATCTATTACACTGTTGCTTTCTTTAATAGGTCTCATAGAAAGTTATGTTTGTGGGTAAATTTGGAGTGCATAGCTTCAGATATGTGCTTGTGTTTCCTCAACCTAGTGATAAGGTATGCAGTAGGGAGGAGGGACTGTGAGTATTTTAAAGTATGGGTGGGCCAGCTTTGGGGTAGGGAGAGACAGGCAATTGCATTGCACATATTGAACCATTAATGTCTTTTAAAATTTGACAATGGTGAATCACTTCTCTTGGAAACTACTGTTCCAAAGTAATGTATAGATGTATTATGTATAGATAATTCCCAGACTGAATCTCAGCAGTCCCTCTCTACTCTTTCCATTCTGTTTCTTCCCTCTTCTCGCCCTCTCGCATCAAATGTCAGGTCCTCCTCCTTCTATATTTCTGTTAAAGGGTATCACCATTCTCTTCATCACTGAACTAGTCATTTAGACTCCTTTCTGTACCCCCACATTGAATCAGACACCAAGTGTTTTTGACTCTGCCTCTGCAGTATCTCTTATCAGTCCCTTTTCCTTTTAATCCTGCTGCCAACACCTTCATCACCTCTGTATATTTCCATAAGCTTTGCAGGGGACCTTAGGGATTATCTCCTCCTGTTGTTTCATTTTACAAAAGAGGAAACTGAGGTCCAGAGATAGAGCGACTTCCCCAAGGAAATAAGGGGCGGAGTCAGCATTCCAACCTTGAACTTAAGGCTTAAAGTTCAGTACTCTTTTCATCATGTTGTGCTTACTTACTGTCCTGCTAACTCATCAATTCAATTCAGTATGCATGTATTAAGCACCTGTTCTGTGAATGGCACTGTTTTATCATGGGGTTGCAAAGATGAAAAACCATGCAATACCTATCATATCTTTAAGGATCTTTTAATGAGGGTCATGGAAAACTGCCATGTTGTAATTCTTTGTGTAATATAAAGCTAATCCACAGCTGTGGTAAAAAGAAGACATGTGCAAATAGTTTTTGTTCCAGTCAGAATGAGATAAGTGCATAGGAGAGTTTCAACAGAGGTGATAGATTTGAGGATGAGGTAGGATCACTTCTAGCTAGAATAATGAGAATGACATTGTCAAGGGAGAATGTGACACCTGAATTTGACTTTGAAAGAAGAGCATGATTTTGGCTGGCAGGGGTATAGAGGAAATCTTTTAGGCTTGGAGAATGGCTTGGCAAAATCCACAGAGACTGGAGAGAACAAGACAAGATAGTGAGAACAGTTAGCTTAGTTTAGTTGAAATGTACTGTCTGTGAAGGAAGAGTAGTATAAAATGAGACAACAAAAGGTGACTAGATCCAGATTATAGAGGATCTTGAAAGCAAATATAGATTTGATGTAAGGAAAAACTTCCTACCAATTGGGGCTATCCAGAAGTAAAATAGGCTGCCTTTGAAGGAAAGCGGTTTCTTTTTGTCAAGTAAAAGACTGAACTGACCATTTGTAGGCGTTTATTAAATGTCTGGTATGTGCCAGACGCTGTATTAGATGCTGTTGATAAAAAGATAAAAGTGAAATAGTCTGTGCCCTCAAGGAGCTTACAAGGATGCTTTTGGGAGAGACATTATGTGCAAATATACAAATTACCTACAGAGAAGTTTTTTGGGAGAAGCATTAGGAACTCGGGCATTCAGGAAAGACTTCACGTAGAAAGTGTCAATTGAACTAGGTCTTAAAGGAAGACAAGGATCCTGAAAGGTGGAAATGAGGGGCAAATGTGTTCCAGAGGTTGAAGACAATCCAGGCAGAAGCATGGAGATGGGAAATGGAATGTGATAAACGAAAAACATCAAAGTTTCATTTATGAAGAACAATTTAAAGGCCAGTTTGAAAAATGTTGTGAAGATAGAATCAACAGGACTTGTCAACAGATTGGATGTGTGGGGTAGAAGAGAATAAAGAGTTGAGGATGACGCCTAGGTTTCAAGCTTAGATGACTAGGATAGTGGTGTCCTCCAATGTAAGAGGAAAGTTAGAAAGAGTGAATGGCTTGGGAAAGATAATGAATTTCATTTTGGACATGTTGAATTTAAGATGTCTATGGGATGTCCAGTTTGAGATGTTCAATAGCCAGTTGGCAATGTGCATGATCCTTGTAGAGGCATCTAGGTAGTACAGTGGATAGACCCCTGGACTTGAAGTCAAGAAAACCTGAGTTCAAATCCTGCCTCAGACACTTGCTAGTTGTGTGACTCTGGGCAAGTCACCTAATCCCTATCTGTCTCAGTCTCCTCCCAGGGTTGTTGTGAGGATAAAATGAGGTATTTGTAAAGTGCTTAGCAAATTTTTAAAAAGCATTCTATAAAATGTTAGCTATTATTGTTATTATTCTATGTGAGACTAGAGGTTAGTGCTACATAAATAGATCTGAGAATCATTCACATAGAGATGATAATTGAATTATTGGGAGCTGATGAGATCACCAAGCAAAACAGTAGAGAGGGAAAAAAAGAAGGGGACCCACAGACAGAACCTTCTGGGACATCCAAGGTTTGTGAGTGTGACCTGGACAAAGATCTAGCAAAGGAGACTGAGAAGCAATGGTTAGACAGGGAGGAGAACTAAGAGAGAGTAGTGTCATGAAAACCCCAAGAAAAGAGAATATCAAGAAGAAGAGGCTGCAGAGATGTCAGGAAGGATAAGGATTGAGAAAAGATGGACTTAGATTTAGCAAGTAAGAGATTGTTGGTATCTTTGTAGAGAGCAGTTAAGGTCAGAATCCAGATAGCAAAGCGTTAAGAGAGTGAGAGGAGAGTAAATGGAGTTACTGTTGTAGCTAGCTTTCTCAAGGAGTTTAACCACAAAAAGGAAGCAAAATACAAGATGATAGCAGGAACAGATGGATCAAGCAAGGGTCTCTTGAAGATGAAGAGACATGAACTTGTTTGTAGAGAGTAGGGAAGTAGCCACTAGACCAAGAGCGATTAGAGATTAGTGAGCATAAGGAGTCAAGGATGACAGTGGGGTTGCAAACCTTGGTGACTGGAGGGATGGTGGTGCCTTTGACAGAAATAGGGAAGTTTGTTAAGTAGTCAGTTTTGGGAGAAAGATTGGTACTATTTTGCACATCTGGAGTTTGAGAACCTTAGGGAAGATCCAGTTAGAAATGTCTAAGAGGCAGTTGCTGATGTGGGACTGGAACTCCAGAGACTAGATCTATATATGTGTAAGAGAGAATCATTTGCATAGAGATGATAACCTGTGGGAATTTATGAAAAGTTCCCAAGTGAGATAGTGTAGAGAACAAAGAAAAAAAGGGAGCAGGGCAGAACCTTGGGGTATACTTATAATTAGGGTTGGCATATGAAGAATGATCAAGCAAAGGAGATTGGAAATGATTGGTCAAAGAGATAGAAGTAGAACTGAGAGAGATCAACATTGCAAAAACCCAAGGAAGAGAGAACATCCAAGAGGAGAAGGTAGTCATAAGTATCAAGTGCTTCAGAAAGGACAGGATGGATAAGGATGGACAAAAGGCCATTAGGTTTGGTAAGTTAGAGATCATTGGTAACTTTGGAGAACAGTTGAGTGATAAGTTCAGAAGCCAGATTATAAAGGATTGAGGAGTGAGTAAGAAAAGAAGATATTGAGGAATTACTTGAGATAGATTTTGTTTTGTTTTAGGGGTTTGGCTGAGAAAAAATAAGAGAGATATAGGATGATAATTTGAGGGGATTGTCAAGGTTTAGGGAGGTTTTTAAAAAAAATAATGAGTGAGATTTAGGTGTGTTTATAGGCAACAAGGATGGAACTAGAAGATATGGAGACCTTTAAGATTAGAAGGGGAATTATTGTGGGGGCAGTCTGTTAGAGACTATGGGAGGGCATGGGATCAAGGAATCAGAGGGGTTGGCCTTGGTGGGAAAAATAACTTGTTTGTTCTTCATTTTGAAGAGGACCAGTGACATCATGGGGTGATGACTTGTGGGTGAATTTGGATTTAAGTAAGGCAGAATTGCACAAAATCGTCAGCCTCTCTCTTCCAGAGTCATCACAGTTCAGTGGCAAGACAAAAGTCAGGATGACTGATAATGGATGCAGTAGACGACCTTGGTATCTTCTACATCTGACCAACCTCTAATATTCCACAGGGCCTACTTCAGCCACCTTCATGATTGTTAGAGGAAATTGTTCTCATCTGCCCATTCTGCTGAGAGGAGTCTTCACATGCCTGGGGTAGACACCCTGCTAACTCACCAGGGGGTTTTGAGGCTCTTTGGTTGCCCTAAACCTGGTTTAGCCTGTCTGCCTACATGGTTTACTGGGTTATGGCCACTGTATGTGTTATAGCTTCTTGAAGCCATAGGTGAGAGTTGAGTGGCAGGTAGACACTAAAGGTGGATGGGCAGCCCCCAAAAGGGCTAGTCCTCCTTTATTACCCCATAAATCCTGGAAAAAGAGCTAGCTATTCACTGGAGACTGGAGTAAAGGAACAGAGAATGGGGAAATGATATCAGGAAATTGTTAGATGTAGTGAAGAGAGGAAGCCCATGGCAAATGGACTCAGTTTTCTTGTTAAGGGGAGTCCTCAGCTGAGGGAGTGGGTGAGAGGTGGTGGTAATAGAGGCTTGAGGAAAGAAGAGATTTGGGATAACTTGTAGCATTGTGGTGAGTGGGAACAAGAAGCAATTAGGGGAGCAGAGGAGACAGATATCTAGGGGTTTGACAAAGTATGAATAGATAGTCAAGACTATAGGGTATTTTAGAGTTGAATGGGTTAACTAGAGGGTCAGTTTTGGGAAAACAAGAAAGTGAAGCCAGAGCAGTGATGGTAGCCTGGAAATGTACTTAGGAGTGGAGTAATTAGAGTTTATGGTGAAGACAGTGAATATGTTTAGGAGGCATAGGATATAGGAGAGATGGTTTGATAACAGATTGTGATAGGATAAAGGAATTTCAGTTATTGATCATGGAGGTTGAACTCTTGTGGTACTAGCAAGATCAAAGTTGTCGCCATTTTTGTAACTGAGAATGAAGGAATAGCCTATGGGAGCTGAGTGAATTGAGAAATAGAATGATTAGGATCTTTGAGAGATCATTAACATGTATTTTGATGTCCCTTAATATAAGGGCTTCTGGAAGAAGGTAGGAGAATGACTTTGGAGCCAGTAAATAACAAACATCTGGATTTTGATTGGATGACTGGTATCAATAGAGAACCTCAAAGGAGAGTTTGCTGGGTGACTTTGGCACTAGGAGAATCTGGAAGTGTCCATGAGGAGCAAGGAGTGTCTGACTCCCATTTCAGGACCATTATACTGTAAAATATAAGATGACGTGCAACCAGTACTGCAGAGGGTAGACAGGGTTGCAGTGTCAACCAGAAGATGGTAGGAGGAATACAAGAGGAAAAAGGCCAAAAAGGGAGGACAAAGTTTGCTAGTAACAGAACAGCCAGAGCTGAAGTGAGGCATTGGAGGTGGCCAGTTATGAATGGGGTTGAGAGATCAGGAAGTTTGAGTTGACTGTGTATGGGGGCAGGTTGGGGGTTTATTCTTAGGCAGTTAGATATTCATTGTCCTCGGGGCTAGGAGAAATAAGGAAGGATAGGAGTTTAAAGTATGAGTCTAAGCAGGACCATCTCTGATGCCGATGGCAGGTGAGTAGAATGCGCTCTCTCACTCTTACTCGCTCTCTCTCTCAGTTCTGCTTTGCTATCTCAGTGGTTTTACAAGAATCATAGGTCTTAGAGCTGGAAAAATCTTTCATTCAAAGTGAGTCATGGCCCTTTTAATAGTTGGGTCTGTGTAATGTTGGACAAGCCACTTCACCTCCTTAGGCCTTAGTGTTTACATCTCTGTAGTATTGCTTGATCTGAAGGCTCTTCTCAATCATGACTGTCCTCTACCTCATAAATTTTCCTCTTAAAATATGGCAGCCAGAACTGAACACAGTATTTCAGATGATGTCTGACCAGGGCAGTTTGTGGCACTCTCATTTCCAGTTTCCTGGACCCTATAGCTCTCTTAAAGTAGTTCAAAATAATATTAGCATTTTTGATTACTGTATCATACTATTAACTCAGTCACTTGTAATCTACTGAAACCTTTTTGTTTTTCAGATAAACTACTATCTTATACTTGTGATTTGTTCTTAGTAAATTTCATCTTAGTATATTTGGCTCAATGTTCTTTTTGAATCTTGACACTATCATATTGTATATTAGCCATCCCTCTCAGCTTTGTGTCATTTTCAGACTTGACAAGGATACAATTTATTTCTTTATCTAAGTTATTAATAAGGATTTAAAACAACAGAAAACCAAGCATACATAGTTCTCCAGAGTGCTTCACTGGAGAACTCCCACATTGACATCAGGTCATTAATGATAGGTAACTCTTTGGGTCCAGGCACTCACCCAGTTCTGAATTCCTCCAATTACAATGTCCAGTCCATGTTTACTCATCTTTTCTACAAGAATTATATGATACGCTTGGCCAATTACTTTGTCAAAATCTAGATAAAATATATTTGTAGCATTCCTCTCTTCTACCACCTTAGTAAACCTGTCAGAAAAAGGAAATGAAGTTCATTTGACATGACCTGTTCTTGATGAAGCCATATTTGCTCTTTGTGACTGTTGTTTCTTTTCTTATTAACTGTACTTTGAATAATATAGTCAATTCACTGATTATGGTTTGCACTGATTATGGTCTACTCTCATCCCTTTTTTGAAAATTGAGACATATTTGTCATTCCTTAATTCTTTAGATGTCTTTGTACAATTTTTAGAAGCTTTCCTATTAATGCCTCAGCAATTATATAATTCTCTGATTAGCTGTTAGAAAGTAAGCACTGTGAGGGCAGAGACTTTTACATAAATAGATAAAGCATTTATTAAGTGTTTACTATGTCAGGTGCTGTGCTGAGTGTTGGGATATTTTTTTTTTCCTTTTTCTCCTCAGTGCCACGTAGAGTTCCTGGAACATAGTAAGCATTTAATGGTTGTTGAGTTCCCCAAGAATGTAGTTCATCTCGCCTGTGTCTGGATCTCATAAAAGGTAGGTGATTGTTCTCATTATCTCCCTGTTAGCCATTTCTGTTCTCTCTTTTCCAATCTAAAGATCATTCTCTATTGCCAGAGGAAACAGAAACAAAATAAGATTGTGATAGCTCTGCCCTCTCTCCATTTCCTGTTATTGTCCAGACACCCTGAGGAGAGGTTCTTCTCTCTTCCTTTATTGTCTTCCTTTTCCATCTTTGTTATCCTTCTTTTTCCTTGCCAACCTGAGCACATTGTGAGCTGTTGTCCTCCAAAGCATTCCTAAAGGACATACTACTTACATATTTATTCTCCATTATCTGTCCTTGCTTCCAACCTCTCTTGTCTTTCAAAAGTCAACTTGTACATCCATTTTAATCTTTTTAGACATTTCCCCTTTTGCCTCTCTTTTTCTTCATCAGAATTTTTTCTCTTTGTATCTTTGAAATTCCATTATTGAGAATTTGCCATCCCTCCTGGCTTTACTATTCTTAAAGAACTTTTGATTATGAGATCCTACCTATTCTTTTTCTGTGCACTTTTAAATTTGTTCTCCTAGAATGTAGGATGGGAAGACTAATTGGGTAGAGAATGTTATGTTTAGAAATAAAAGTGATATAAAAGTGCCAATACTTTTTTTTAAATAAGAAAAAAAAATCTGGAACACATTAGATTTTGCCTGACTTTTCCTCTGTCATCTATTCTGCAATGGAGTGGTCACTTATCTCTAAGTTAAAACAATCATTTCTACCCCAAGTAGCTAGTTTTTAAAAACTTCTTATGAGAATCAAATCCAGAATAGAAGTTCTCCATTTGGTTCCTTTACCATTTAAAGCATGAAGTTATCAGTAAGGCACATCAGGAAATTTTTAGCTGCTCTGCTTTTGGCAGAGAGAATTATACTAGAAAATTGAAGTCCACCATCATTATTGTATTGTGTCTCAGTGAAGGGCTTTTGATTTGTTTCCTGCATTTCTCATCTCTTTCCTCTTTCTGGCCAGCTGGTCTGGACAGAATATAAGTTTGTGATAATATTCTTTCAGCTTATGCCTCCATTGATGCTCACCCAAAAATGTTTTCCAACTTACTCTTCCAACTTCCCATTCCCTTTCTGGATTTCCTCACATAACTATATATAGCTTCTTAATACACATACAGTGCTACTTGCCCCTTGCCCCTTGCCCCTTGCCTCTTTGTTTGTTCTGTTGCTTTTGAATGAGTTTTTTTTTTTTCCCAGAAAACTCTCTATGCATGGGTCTCATCCCTACCAAGTCTCTTGATAGAGAAGAGTTCAAATTTGCCTCCTTGGTTAGAATTTCTAGTTCACCTTGCTCATTGCTCATACATTGTTCTTTGGTGTGTAGGTATCTTGACCCCATGGGATTTTATTATTTGTTCCTTTCTTGGGTTTTGTGTCCTGTGAATTTCTTGCTGCTGTTTTTTCATTAATTTCAAACATTTATTCAGCACCTGCTATGTCCGGTCAGTCAAATAGCATTTATCAAGTGCATATTTGTGCCAGGCACTGTCCTAAGCATTGAAGATACAAAGAAAAGCAAAAACACAGTCTCTGCCCTCAAGGATGTCACATTCTAATGGGAGAGACAAAATTTAAATAACTGTATACAAGATAAATACAGTGTAAAGGGAAGGTAATCTCCAGAGAGAAGGCACTAGAAAGGGGTAAGGAGAACTGGAAAAGGTTTCTTGCAGAAGGAGAGATTTGAGCTGACTCTTGAAGGAGCTGAAGGTGAGGAGGGAGAGCATTCCAGGAATGAGGGACAGCCAGTGAAAGGCAGAGTTGGGAGATAGAGTATCCTGTGTAATGAATAGGAAGTAGACCAATGATGCTGAATTACAGAATATGTGAAGGGGGAGGTAAAGTATAAGAAGGAAAGTAGGAAGGGCCCTAGTTGTGAAGGGCTTTAAATTCCAAACAGGATTTTATAGGGAGCCACTGGAATTTATTGAGTGGGGAGAGTGGTATATGATATGGTCAGACATGTGCTTTTGGAAAATCACCTTCGCAGCTGAGGGGAGAATAGTCTGAGTGGGGAGATACTTGAGGCAGGGAGATCAACCAGTAGACTATTGTAGTATGAGGGCCTGCACCAGGGTTTTAGTTGTGTGAGTGGGAAGGAGACATGAAGATAGAAAAGGTAAGATCTAAAAATAATAATAATAATAGCTAACATTTATGTAGGGTGCAAGGCGTTGTGGTGCTTTACAATTATTGTCTTTTTTGATCCTCACAACATTCCTGGGAAGTAGGTGCTATTATTATCTTCATTTTATAGATTAGGATACCACGGCAAATAGAAGTTAAATGACTTGTCACACACTGAGTAAGTTATTTGAGGTCAGATTTGAAGTCAAGTTTTCCTGACTCCAGGCCTATTGTTCTATCCACTGTGCCACCTAGTTCCCTCTTAACAACAGATTGCATATGTAGGGTGAATCGGACGTTGATGACACAATGGTTGTGAACCTGGATGACTGTGAGGATGATAGTCTCCTTGTTTTTAATAGAAAAGTTGGGAAGAGCAAAAGGTTTGGGGTGGTAGGGGAGAGGATCATTTTTGTTTTAGACATTGATTTTGACATGCCTACAGGACATCATATTCAAGATATCCAAAAGGTAGATAACAATGTAAGACTAGAGGTCAGGAGAGAAATTAAGGCTTTATATATAAATCTAAAAGTCATTTGTGTTGAGATGATAATTGAACTATGGGAGTTGATGAGATCACCAGGGTGGGAAGGAAAACCAGAAGAGAGCTTAATGTCATGAAGATCTGTGGAGAAGAGGGTGTCTAGGAGAGGCTGGTGATCAGTAGTGTCAAAGGCTACAGAAAGGTCAAGAAGGATGAGGATTGAGAAAAGCCTGACAGTAGTTTTAGTAGAATTATGAGTTCCAGATTGCAGAGAGTTCGGGGAGTGAGTAAAGAGAGAAAGTGGAAGTACAGAATCTAGACAGTTTAAGGACTGAGACGAGAGACATAGGATAGTGTCTAGTAGAGATGTTGGGATCAAGTGAGGGTTTTTTTAAGGATGGGAGGTGGAAAAGGTTCATTTATATACAATACGGAAGCAGTCAGTAGCTGAGAGAAATTGTAGTGAGGATGATAGAGGGGGATGATCAGCCAGAGTGGAGTCAAGGATGTATGAAGGAAAGTTTGCCTTGGCAAGGAAAAAGGTTACCTCTTTGTGAGAGTCAAGTGAAGGAGAAGATAGTGGGGGAAGATGTCCGAGTGATGTGAGATGAGGAAAAGAGGAAAAGACGGAGCCCTTGAAAAATGACCGCAATTCTTTCTGTGAAGTATGAGGTTAAGTCCTTAGCAGAGAGGATGGGGGAGAAGTGCTATGGAAGAAAGACTTGAGGAGGAATGAAAAGGTTTGGAATAGCTGCTGTAGTGTGTGTGTGTGTGATGGGGAGTCAATTAGGAAAATGTAAAAAGATTACCTTACTAAAGCGAAAGCCCAGTTGAGATTATGTAACAAAAATTTGTAGTCAATCCAGGCAAAGTACTAGGGGTACAACAGCAAAATGGAAGCTGTCCCTGACCTTAAAGTGCTTATATTCTTTTAAGGGGCAGCAATTATAAAAGTCAGTACAAAATAAACATATAGTAATTTCCAGGGGAAATGGTAACAGCAACTGAAAGGATTAGTCTAAGCCTCTTGTAAAAAGTGACACTTAAGCTGAGCTGTGAAGGAGGCTAGTAATTCTAGGAGTTGGAAGTGAGGAAGGAGTGATTCCAGGCCTTTACACAGTCAGGGAGAGTGGAGGTGAAATGAGCTGTCTATGGAGCAGTGATGAGTAGGCCTATTTGGCTGGAGTGTTTTTGTAAAGGAGTCTGGAAAAGTAGATTATATTCTTCCCACAAATTGAAGTGTCTATACGTAGCTTGTTGGATATATGTAGACAACCCATTTCTTTATTATTTTAAGGTCCTTTTGACTAGATTTGCAAGATTCAAGGCAAATACAGCTCTCATTAGGTGTCTTCCATCCTTGGCTGGGAGCTTATTGTTTTTCTTCCTCATCAATAAAAGGAGGGAACTGGGCAAAAGGATCTCTTAGTGTACTTCCTTGTGCTTCTGAAGAAAAGGAGCTTTGTTATATTTATCTTTGTAGCTTTCACAATACCTTGTACATAGTAGGTGCTTAATAAATGTTGTGTGGTTGAATGAATAATAGATACAAAAGAAGCCATTAAATTATATAAAATGGGCTTTTTTTTTAACAAATAAATTCATATTTGCCATTCTGCATGGGTCAGGAGTGTGAATGTGGGGGTGTTGGTTTGGTAAGTATCATTATTTGTCTGGGTTGTCAGAAGGAACTATAGGAGAGAGGTCAAGGACTGGATGTTGCTAAATGTACAAACTACATAAAAATGCCACATGTCCAGTTAAGAAAAGTTCAGCTGCTTAATAAAATATTCTGTGACTTAATCTGCTAGCTGCCTCATTGACAGTGTTACTATGAAGAACATGTAGTGTTTAACATTTGAACTAGTTTATTAATCTGGTTCCCAGATATTTTCTTATGAGAGACTTGGAAAAGAATCTTTTCACTCATGATGTTTTCTTAAAGTTTAAAAAAATCTGTATCCACAGACTTTGATTTCATATAACAACTTCTCCTTCTGAAATTAATACTTAAACAATGCAACTACTACCTGAAGAACTAAAGTCTTTTTGCAGTACTTCACTTGACATGAGGATGACCTTGGACTATTGCATAAATTGCTCTGCCTGCAGAGCACACATTTTGGCAAAGCCCTACTAAACTGAAAAAGCCTTCAGTACGTGCCTGGCGATGAACTGCAATTCTGTTGAACTAAGGAGCCATCTGCTAAAGATGTTGGAGGTTATGTGCTCTGTGTCTGTAGAGGGAGTACCCACATCAGTATATGAAATGATGGATCTTTTGAAGTAGTAAAGATGCATACATGTTAAGATGAATAAAACTAGCTTGATTGTTGATTCTACAAATACAAGATTTACCTAACATTGGTAATCATTAATAATTTAGTAAACTAGTATTTTGATGTCTTTTGACAATATGAAATGTATTTCAGATTTTGTCTGTCAGGGGTGTTTATAATATATTATTTATGATAGTGTTATTCTGAATCATTGGGGAAGTTCTGATTTTCTAGTGGAAGCATGTGAAATAGAAATCAAACTTTTGCAGTTCTTAAGGAATCCTGTGGTGCCCACAATACTGAATTTGGCAATTTCCATTTACTTACAATGTAATTCTCAGTAGTTAAGTTGCCTATAAGTTATAGACAAGAAAATGTAATTACTTATATTCATTCATCCTTTGTATAGACTTACTATTTAATATCAATTTTTGATAACTTGTCTAAGGATTGAGTTCATTTAGTAAGGGGCAACTAAATGGAAAAAACACTGGACTAGTAGTCAGCAGTTTTCTGTACTAACTCTTGCTCTGTGACTTTGGGCAAGGAACTTCAGCGGCCTTAATTTCTGGGCTCATTTTCCTTCACTGTAGAATGCAGAGGGGCAGGTGAACTAGATCAGTGAGGATAAAGTCAAATGGAAACAGGGGTCACTAAATTAGTTGTACATAAGTATTCCTGCAGTTGCATATTAACCTAGAAAACAGCATATTGACATTATTATGTTCTATTGTATTATTTATTTTGTAAAATATTTCCCAATTGCATTTTAATTTGTTTCTGGCTACACTCAGGAGGGTCTTTGAGACCTTTGGATTAGATAATCACTAGTGTACCTTTTAGGTCTGATTCATTGGAAAAGGGACAAAATTTTGATGGTCTAGATCATCTGAGCAGTTTGACTTAGGGCAGTCACAGGATAAAAGACTTAATAAAATAATTGGATTTTTATGTAGACTTGGAATTATATCTCTTGAGAGATAATCTAGTTCAACCCCCATATTTTGTAGATTTGTAGCAGATTATGTGATTTTATTTATTGGAATACATTTAAATAATGTATATAGAAGGTGATCTAGAAAAACCAACCCCTTTTGCTTGATGATATTTAAGATCATAGGATTTAGACCTGGTAGAGACTTTAGATATCATCCAGTTCAACCCCTTCATTTTACAGAGGAGGAAACTAGGGCCCAAAAAGGTAAAGTGACTTGCTTGAGATTGTTAGTGTCATTTTTTGTTATTGTTTGCTATGAACTAGAAACATTTACTTTTTTCTCCTTCTCTGTAGTTTGTGCTGTGTGAAATATTTAACATGTTTTCTTTTTGAATTGTCTTCAGAGCTTAATTGCCTAAATACAGTTACCCAAGAGTGATACAGTAAGATTTACTTACTATGTAAACCAAAACCGCTTAGAAGTAAATAAGGTTAGATATATAGGGAGTTACCACAAATGTGTAAGGCTAGGAGCTATTCCTCTACAGAAGACTGTTCAGAGGACCCAAATGGTTTTCAAACTGTTAATGACTATATGTAGTCATACTCCAAAATCACTAAGAAGAGAAATATAAATTACAACAACTCTGATATTTTATTTTAACACTCAGCAAATCAGTAAAGGTGACAAAAGTTGGTAATATTCTGTGTTGAAGAGGCTAAAGGAAGACAGGCACATTAATAAGTCTGTAGTTGGAACTGTGAATTGGTCTAACTCTTCTAGAAAACTGTATGGAATTTTATGATTGGAATGATTAATTTTCTTACCCTTTGACTCATTACTCTCACTACTGTGCACATACCCCAAGAAAATCAAAGACCTAAAGGTCCAATATATTCATAGCATCACTTATTGTGATAGCAAAGAACTGAAAGCAAAGTGGGTACTCATAACATTGGGGAATAGGTGAGCAAACTGTAGTTTATGAATATAATGGAATATTTTTATGCATTAAGAAAGAATAAAAATGAAGGATTCAGAGAAATATGGGAAGATTTATTTGAATTGATGCAAAATGAAGTAAAACCAGAACGTTAATACCCAGCAACCATAGTAATGTAGATGAAAAGAATACTTTAAGGAAGTTGAACTCGATTAATTATAATAGCTGTTCTTAGCCCCAGAGAACCAGTAATGAAATCTTCCTCTTCACAGAGCAGAAGAGGACTTTTGCCACTGTGTAAATTGACAAGTGAGGTCATATCAATTGTTTTTCATTAACTGTTTTTCTTTGTTACAGGGAAGTGTTTGATTCTGAAGGAGGAGTGGGGTAATATGTGCAGAAATGACTGATGTAAAAAACAAAAGGCATCAATAATTTTTTTAAAGTAAAGAAATGAATGAGGATGTCAAAGGGTTTAGCCCTGTACTTGGTTTTCACTGGCCTTCTGTTCTTTTCCTTATAGGATCTAGAATATTAGAAGTTATTTAGTCAACCTTATCCCTTGCATCTGCCAATGAGTACTCTTATTCCTTTGTAGAGAGACTTTAGTGGGTATTAAATCAGGTCCTAGTAAACTTTGCTAAATGGACTCTAGGGATCTAGACCAAGGGATTCCTAAATTTTGCCCTTCTTCCTCTCCAAGCTCTCTCTCATTCTTACTGAAGGGCTGATTCCTTTCTGGGTTATTTTCTATTAGAGAATAAGATATTATTTGTTAGAGAATTAGACCTGTGAGGTCTGTTTCTTAGTATTCTACATCTTCCCTCTCTCCCAGTAGTTACAGGTAAACAGAAGATCCTGGGAAACAACACTAGATGTCTTCCACTATTCCCCAAGGGTGATGTTTATTTTTTGCTCACTGTGACAAGCCTTAGTTCTATCATAGACTATGTGTCAAAATCTATCATACCACACACACACACACACGTCAAGAAGGGAAAAGATAAAAGCTATTGACTCTGGTGGTACTTGGAGGAAGGGTGGTGGTTTTGGTGAAAGGGTTCTTTTTTTTGTGGGAATTGAAGATGATGAGTGAAAAGGAGGTAGAGCAGATTTCTCATTAGCTTGGAATTGTTAATAATTTTTCTTTCTCTTGCAGTACTGAACTAGATTTGTAATGAAATGGAGTCTGGAACAAGTTCTTTTCGAGTGGAATTTCCCGATTTTTCTAGCACCATTTTGCAGAAACTAAACCAGCAGAGACAACAAGGACAATTATGTGATGTTTCCATTGTAGTCCAAGGACACCTTTTCAGGGCTCATAAGGCTGTTCTTGCTGCCAGCTCACCTTACTTTTGTGACCAGGTGCTACTGAAAAACAGCAGAAGAATAGTTTTGCCTGATGTTATGAATCCAAGGGTTTTTGAGAACATCCTTCTCTCTACTTACACAGGACGACTAGTAATGCCTGCTTTAGAAATTGTCAGTTATCTGACAGCAGCCAGTTTCCTCCAGATGTGGCATGTGGTAGACAAATGCACTGAGGTTTTAGAAGGAAATCCTACAGTCCTTTGTCAAAAGCTAAATCATGGCAATGATCATCAGTCACCAAGCAGCAGTAGCTACAATGGCCTAGTTGAAAACTTTGAGCTTGGTTCTGGTGGACACCCAGATTTCCCTAAAACCCAAGAACTGAGAGATGGAGAGAATGAAGAAGAGAGTTCCAAAGATGAATTGTCGTCTCAGCTAACTGAACATGAGTATCTTCCCAGCAACTCCTCAACAGAACATGATAGACTAAGTACTGAAATGACCAGTCAGGATGGTGAAGAAGGGGCCAGTGATAGTGCTGAATATCATTATACAAGGCCCATATATAGCAAGCCCAGCATCATGTCTCACAAACGTTGGATCCATGTGAAGCCAGAAAGATTTGAACAGGACTGTGAAGGTGTTGATGTGCATGCTGCTTATGATGAGCACCAGGTCACTGAATCAATCAATACCATACAGACAGATCACTCTATCCAGTCTTCAGGGGTAGATGAGGACTTTCACATTGGTGAAAAAAAAGTTGAAAATGAGTTTGATGAACAAGCTGATGAAAGTAATTATGATGAGCAAGTTGATTTCTATGGCTCTTCTATGGAGGAGTTTTCTGGAGAAAGAGCAGATGGGAATCTTAGTAGCCACAGACAGGATACTATTATAGCAGCAGGCTATAGTGATAGCATTGAAATGGTGACAGGCATTAAAGAAGAAGCTTCCCACTTGGGGTTCTCAGCTTCTGACAAGCTGTACCCTTGTCAGTGTGGGAAAAGCTTCACTCACAAGAGTCAGAGAGATCGGCATATGAGCATGCATCTTGGTCTTCGGCCTTATGGCTGTGGTGTCTGTGGTAAGAAATTCAAAATGAAACATCACCTTGTTGGCCACATGAAAATTCACACAGGCATAAAGCCATATGAGTGTAATATCTGTGGGAAACGATTTATGTGGCGGGACAGTTTTCACCGGCATGTGACTTCTTGTACCAAGTCATATGAAGCTGCAAAGGCTGAGCAAAATACTACTGATGTTAATTAAAAATAGGACGTGGATTTTTTTTAGCGGTGTGCACAAAAATAAACTATTATAATTATGCAAATTGTGTGCACAGATGATGTGTGGTACTTTCTATTATGAGACTAGCTTAAAAATTGGAGGATATTTCTGAAAGACTGTATGTAAGTAGGCCAATTTTTAAAGTCTAATTTCTAAAGTCATTATGCTTGAGTCCTGCCCTGAGAGTTCAGTCTCTGCTAACCCACCTCTCAGCTAACTTTTCAACCTTCAGGCCAGTTGTGATGTAGGTGGGCCATTTTTGTTTTATTTTGTTTTTAATGTAGCCACCTGCATTTAGAACTGGGCTCAAAATGTGAGGTTTTGGTTTTGGTTTTGGTTTTTAGATACAACTTTTGGTCACTCATAACTTGGTCCTGTTAAAATGTTATTTTGCCTTTATTAATGAAACTTGGAGTAGACGGTCTGAATTTGTTTAGGTTAAATAGCTATCTCACCAAACAAATCCTCTGCTGTGTAAAAAGCTCAAATGATATGGCTCCTCGAAGGAGAAATTAAATAGAATTCTTTTGGTCTAAGTTTTATCTTTTTAAAGGGTATTTTAATTAAAACCATGAAGGAGGATGCAAAGTAGGTAACATTCTAACATGATTCAATAGTAACATGGTACAAGCTTCATTTTTTTTTTGATGATACTACAGTAATGTGTATCAAATTCTTGATATAACCCACACAAGGTTTTATATTTTAGTATATTGAAGTTTAAAAAATTGTATCTAGTTGTGATTCACTAGGTGTAGAACTAGTTACCAGAAATTGGTATTTCTAATTGGCTTGATATTCCAGTTCTTATTCATGTGAGTGACTGGAAGCTACCACTCCAGCAGAGTCCCTAGGTGAGCTCTACATATTGGACCTATTGTAACCCTGATTATAAGTCTTACCTGCTGCTGCTCAGAGTTGTGGGCCGATTGCAGATAGTTGAGCTTTCTAATGAAAATCTGTCACTCGTAGGTAACAGGGAAGAAACAATTACAGATAAACAGATATAATTACAGATTATAGTTAGGAGCCCTTGTGTTTCAGGAGTTGGTTTAATATAGCCTGGTAGCTATGAAGCCACAAAAAACTAGAAACAGAATGCAGCATGAGTAAGGCAGAGAAGAGCTGGTAACAAATTGTTTGGATGGCACATTGTATTCTCTGCTTCATTGTCATCCAACTTGAGCATTGGTACCTGTATAAAAAGGAGGTGGTAGCTCTTTAAAATAAATAGATCCACATTAGCCCATAATGCATATCTTTTTAGAGGACTGGAAAGTATTTTAGAATGGAAAAGGAGAAAAAAAAAACCTGATTTTTAGCAGAGCAGTTTGGAGAGTCAAGCTCCCAAATTATACTGCTGCATAAATTAACAAGTCCACACATCTGTATGTATAGAAAATAAGAAAGTGGCAGTTCTGAGGTTTTTTTTCTCCCTATCAGTCTGATGTATTGGATTGAAGACTGCTTTGTAGAAAAGAAATAAATCATATTCCGAATATATAAGCTCTGTGATATACCTAGATTTCTCATTGGGGTGGGACAGGGTGCTATAATTATACTAACTTCTTTTGACTCACTGGTTGATTGCTTCCAAATTTTAAGTATAAATGTTTTCATTTCATAAGAAAAAATAGCTTTTCCTTGAACTCTTAACTGAAATTTGGTTTAAAAAAATTGGCTTTGCACAAATATGGTTGCCATTGCTGGCAATGGACTTACTCAACCTGCTAACTCCTAAGAATTCAAGTTCTGAACACTGTATGTGGACAAAGGGAAAGTAGCTCATTCTTGTAATCAACATAATTAACAGGGAATCTACTCACTAACACTGTATCCTTCTCAATATAGAAAAGCACTTTGTATTTAAATCTCTTTATACATATATTGTTTTTTAACCTAGAAACTATATATTACCTCCTAATTGATTGCCACATTAATACTGTTTCCTTAATATTGAAACATCTGCCAGTTGCCAGTCTTTTTCGTTGTTTACATGGCTGGAATTGTGTAGAGGTGACGATACAATCCAACTCAATTCTTTCCTACTCTTTGAAGTGGTCCTAGTCCTTCTGTGTGATGAGAAATTGCTTTATGACTCCCATTAATATTATTAATGATGTTGTGAAACAATTACTTCTGCCAAATATCTTCACCTTCTGCTGAGGTGTTAGCAAAGTATATTTCTTATCTAATTTGAAAGCTTTCCTTTAAAAAATTAGGTTGGGAAGTTTTATAAGAATTTGAGCTAGAAAATACAAATATAGGGAATGCATATCTTTCAACTCTGTTCATTTCAGTGAAACAATGTTGTCACTAGTAATTTGAAGATTTTTTTAATCTATTCCACTACTTTCTTACTTAATCTCCAAATTCTTATCCTGTGTCATCTCTGACATCAGTTTTGCAAGGATTTAATATGTTAACTGCAATTTTACCTTATTCAAATAGATCGATGCCTTTTGTAGGAATCCTGATGTGTATACCAACTACTAATTTATAATTCTTATTTTTAAAATCCATGTTCAACTTGTCTGTTGTCCTGTGCTGTTTATATAAAATATTGGGTTTCATTTTAAAAAATAGTATGGTAAGCAAATCAACCCCAGACACTCTTAGTGGGACCACTCTAATGCTGACCACATTCAGATAGCACACAATCTTCACCCAGCATGAGTTGGGCTGGTAGAGGGGATGGGTTTGGTAGGCAGGGAGAAGCTTGGAGAAGAATGCTTACTATATGTCTATTAAGAGAGAAATTTTGCAAACTTTACCTTTTTAAGATAAAGTAATTCTATCCCCTTTGGAATCCTCATTCAATTACCATCTTTGTGTTGAGGATGATTACTCTCTCATATTCTTTTTTTCTCTAGCTTCAGCACTGGTTTAGAAATATCTTTTTTCAAAATTATTGCACAGAAGGGAGTGGGAGAGGTCACACTTAGAAAGCCTTCTGTAGATACAGTAGTGATAATATTACATCCCCTCCAGTATAGACAGTTTTTGTTCAATTCTTAGCTTGAGTTCTTCCCTTATCCTGATTTTTTTAAAAAGGCTTCACTTAATGAGGACTGTGAATGTTACATGACATTATTAATGCTAGCACTTATATCATGCTTTTAATTTTAGAAGCACTGATAGGACATAAAAATCATCTACTTCATAAGGTAGACATCGCCATTTTACAAGAAAGGGAATTGAGGCAAAGGTTAAGTGCCTTTTCCCAAGGCCACCCTGGGATCATTTGGGATTAACCTCAGGAGTTCTTGGGTCCCAGCCCTTTGATTCTGACTACTAGACCAGACCTTTCTCAGTTCCCTTCTTATGGTCACCAGTTCAGACTGAACAGAAAAGAATTTGTAACTAATGTCCCCTCATTCCCCTTCCCCCAGTTTAGGGGTGATAACCAATTTAAGGCTATTATTCTTGAAGAGTCCATTAGGATACTCCCCAGAACTCTGTGGTCTAGTTCTTCCCTTCTATGTGTGGTGTGCATTGCTAGGTACTTTGGAAGTGAAATTGGAATGTGTGCACAAGAACATCATTAATACCTTTTCTTCCCCCAGGGCAAGAGGTACTACAGACTACATGTGTAAAGATTGCATAGAGTTCAGATACTGCCAAATTCAGGGTCTTAGTTTCATAAGGTCCACATTTTGATGACTTGGGAGTAGTAACGAATGAGACTAAACCCATGCAGAATCTCCTCCAATATAATCTTAAGTGAATTTTATTTGACTTGTGCCACTAATATTTATTGAAGATGCTTTATTGGGTTGCTAACTCAGAAGGTTCCATCTTTATTCAATGAAACCAGAGTTTTTCTCTGAAATGGCAAAGTATTTGCTACTTAACTATTTCAATGAATCTGTTTTTAACTTAGAATAACTATACTGAACGGTGCCCTGAGGGAAAATGCTGGAACACATTTCTTAAAATGTGATTTTTTTTCCTTGCTTGAAGCTTGTGTCATATGTCAGTTGTTGCTGCTTTGTTTCCTTTTTTATGGGGTTTCCAATATTTCTTCCAGAAATTTACTTTTATTTATGCAAGTCAGGTGAATCTTCCTTGAGCTACATAGTTTTATTCTAAGGAAATTGTCATTTAAGGTTGCATATCTTATTGATATTTTGTGAAATGTTATGCCTGTATTGCAAAGGTTGAATAGTTTTGTCTTTATATAATATTGCTGTCTTCATTGTACAGCATGGTTTTACTTAATTTAATGTTACTGTTTAATATTTTCTTCTTATAGAAGAGACCATGCCCTTTTGTATGACATGTTTTAATAAATGTTATCTGTCAACTTCGTAAAAGGTTTGTTATCACTTTGGGTTGATTATCTTTGATCTGTTGTGCCTTTGCTATTTTTCTGGTTTTTGCCACGTGTGAAAAAGTAAGATTCCTTTCAAAAGTGCCAAGTTGATAGTGAAGTTATAGAGAGGCCAATCTCCTCTCTCATCCTTGAAGACTACATGTGCTTCTGTCCTGTTGCCTCTTCCAGTTACTCCTTCTAACTCCCTTCTCCCCTACACTGCCCCCCAGCCTGTCTGCTATAGTCCCACCTGACCCCTTTCAGTTCTGCCCAGCCCCCATGACACCTTTCATAGTCCTGTCCCACAAATCCCCCTTTCCCTACACATAATGCTTCTAAGTCCTGCTTACCCTCATACCACTTACCCTTCTTAGAGGCAGCTGGTATCATATCGGATAGAGTGCTGGGCCTGGAGTCAGGAAGACCTGAGCTCAAATCAAGCCTCAGACACTAGCTGTGTGACCTTGGGGAAGTTAGTTAACCTCTGTAAATGAAGATAATAATACTTACCTTACAGGGTTGTTTTGAGGATCGAATGAGATAATGAAAAAATGCTTAGCACAGTGCCTGGCACATAGTGGGTGCTGTATAAATGTTTATTCCCTTTTCCTTCCCTCTCAACCCTGGACACTATGCTTCTCTGCTTATTTCAGCCCTCCCTCCTCACCTCTTATCGAAAAAAAGCACTGTTCTTTAAATGTGGTTCAGACTGGTGAACCAGCAAATTATAGCACTGAGAGAGCCCTACTTCCCAGCAACAGCTCATTACAAGAGACACTGCTCATTTTAGACCTAAACTTATCATCATCCCACACAAACCTTCTGTTATCACTGTTGTTTGTTATAAACCTCTCCCCACCCCCTGAATTTTTAAATGGGCTGTAGATTGCCTGGGCTGGCTGTACCGTGGATGGTAAAGATCTAATCTGGGTATATTTCCTCTTTGCTATCTGGTCAGTGAATAACTTTTTCTGACAGGCAGCACAGCCTTCCTGTCTCTATCATGTACCCTTTGCCATTTCCTTTCTCTTCATATGCATTCCTCTACAAATTAACAAATAAGGCCCCCTTGTTAAGTGGAGGGAAGCTTCTGGCCACTTGGAAATGTACATGTTTCAAAGTCCACAGACGTTAAGTGCCTCCTGTGTGCATGGCACTCTGCTAGGTCCTAGAGATACAAAAACTGCGTTCCTGTCCTTAAGGATCTTACATTCTACTAGGAGCTTAGGAGCTATGTACAGAGCTATAGTAAATACTAAGTGTAAAATGAAGTAAATTCAGAAAGGAGAGTACTAACACCCCAGGGGATTAAGAACTGCTTCATGTAGAAAGGCAGCATTTGAGCTATGCTTTGAAGGAAGCTAGGGATTCTGGGAGGTGGAGAGGGCTCAAATACATAGGGCCTCAAGATGGAATGTTGACTAGCAGGCCAATTTTGCTGGTGTGGAATGACCATGAAAGGGGCATAATGAGAAATAACACTGGAAAGGTAGGTGAAAAACCTGCCTTTTCCTTAGGCTATGGAAATCACACCACCAATCTCCAACATAGTATGGCAATGATCCTATGGACTTAAAGTTTGACTGGCTGGCAGTCAAACTTTAGCTCTGACAGTCCCATTAAATCTAGAGAGGCTTCAGATGCAGACCTGGGGATGGACTTTGGTTCTGGCATCCAAGGACAGATGTACAACCTACCCTAAGAGCAGAGACTCATCACTAGAAGGTTGGTCACCAGAAGATGGATTTTGGAGGGGGGCAGTTCTAGGGGAGGATGGTATATGTAACAATCTTAATAAAACTTAGTTCATTCTTAAAGGGTTGTAGAGTGGCATCATTCTGCTTCAGTAGAGGTAGTACACATGTAGATGAATCACAGAACTTTAAAGTAATATGTTAACTGAAGCAAACCTGTATTAACTGCCTTTTATATTCAAGCACATACATTTATGCTCCAGCCTGGGATGAATACGTTGAGATAGATAAGAACTCTGCCTTTGTGAGCTCTCAGTCTACTGTCAGGATAAAATACTACACAGCACAGATAACACTAAATTGCAGGGTGAGTACATTAGAAAGGTATAAGCAAAGAGCATTATCTGGTCCGAAAGTTGCTAAGGCTACATACATATCCTAGTAAATAATGGAAAAATGGGAATATTGGGTGCAGAGGAAAAAGAACATATTTT